AGCAACAACTGAAGAAACAAAGACGTTGCTGGTTGCTGGAGTAACATCAACTATATAAGAATGCAATTGAACTTCTTGGAGGATATCGTATGGTTAGACTTTTATAACTTAAACTAAATTCTGCTGTTACATGCATGCATTTAGATGTATTTGCGTGTTTAGATATATAAACATAGAGTGCAAGTGCAGCAAGTTGAGAGGGATTAGAGACCAATTCGAATTAAATTTAAGAAATAAAAGCTTCAACTCAAACATGGGCGTGATCCTACCTCCAACTATACTAATACAACCTGTGCTCATTTTTCTAAGCTCGTCTTAGGCTCAGGTTTCTCAGAATAGTTGGGTTATGTTCTCTACTCTCTAGCTTACTCTTTGAATACATGATCATGAATATACATATGTTTGTATTTATTATTATTATTTTGTATTTACTTTAATTATTTATACGAATTGAAATTATAGTATATCATTATATTACATGGTGTGTAAATTATGATAGTATAAATTGAGTTCAATTTCAATTTTATACTTCAAATATTCCATAATGGTCTTTATTTGAGGATTAAGTATATTTCAATTTGATTTTTGTGTGTACAAATATATATATATATATATATATATATATATATATATATATATAATTAATTAATTAATTCACCACGTGCATTGCATATGAATTTTGCTAGTATAAGCATATGTACATATGTTTTAAAGACAATTCCACTCTTATGCTCTCGCTGTGGTTTAATGTGACTTGGGTCTAGTGGGCGGAGCTAGGATTTTAGTTTAGCGGGATACAATGTTAAGAAAAGAAATTATTTAAAGGAGTAGAAGGGGAAAAAAAAATAAGAAAAGGGAAAAAAAAAAAAAAAAAGTAAGAAAAATGACAACTTAAAAAGGAAAAAATTAAAATTTAATTTAACAAGAAAAATCTAACTTTTTAAAAGGAATTTGAAGAGTAAATTAGGAAAAAATTTTGAAAAATAATAGATAATTTTAAAAACTAATAATTTTAGGAGAGACATTATATAAATTTTTTATTTTTATTTTTATTTATTTTATTTATTTATATATATATATATATAAACACACACACACATAAAAAATATAAAAAAATTTCTATATGTATAGTGGCTTGGGCATACACGGGTTCTGCCCCTGCTCGGGTCTATCCCCTCTCTCTTTTCTAGAATCTATAATTGACCATCATTACATTAAAATCAAAGATTAATGATGAACTCCCAAGGGGTTGGCTTAGTTGGAAAATACTTAAGTATGAGAGGCTCATGAAGCATTAAGTCTCAAAATTTAGAATGTGTGTATACCAACTAAAAAAAGATATGTAATTTGGCCAATACTTAACTTCAAGCTAACTGACGATATCATGGGTATAATATAAGGTCGGTCGTTACAAGTAATTTTGTAGATATCGTTTTCACCCTTCGCTTACAAAATAAATTATGGACCTATTCTTGTGGTTCCTTCAAATTTCTGTCACTACTAATAAAGAATCAGGACACAATCCATCAAGTAGTTATGGGCATAGATGACAATGTCCAATGAGAATTTCATATCTCCTCTGTCCGAATAAGCCCAAAGAAGATTTATGGTTCCATCAAGCTTGTTAGAATTAGGGGTGGGATTAACCCAAGTAACTCGATTCCCCCCCTAAAAAATTTAGGTGTATGAGCAAGGTATTGAGACTCTGGTATTGGAATTGGGTTTAAATTTTAAAACTCAAATTTATATTGGGTGGGATTTGGACAAAGATTTTACTAACCTGAACAATCCAAAGAACTCAAAATACAAGAATATATATATATATATATATATATATATATATATATATATATTAAATGTTATACCTTAATTATGTGAATAAAATAAAGTTAAAACTAGATGATTTAATATTTAATTATTTATATTAATTGAATTTTTTAGTCATGGAAACAATATAATAAAGAGTATAATTTTGAATTCTTTCCAAATTCTAGTTAAGAAAATTTTCATGAAGTCCTAAGTTCTATCTACTATTATCACACTTACAGTGCCATTTTCTTTTCTTTTCTTTTTTTTTTTTTTTTTTTTTTGTTGAAATTACCATTTCAGTAATCTTTATTTATTAGTGATATAGAAAAATTTGAGGAACTCAAAAAACCCATGCTGCATGAATCAGGTTAAGTTGTGATATGTTTAACGGGACTTGGACTTGACCCTGGCTAATCCCTTGGCTAGCTCAACCCTCCAAGTCCCACCCCTAGTTGGAAATTGGAATGCGTAGGTAAGGGAAAAAAAAAACAAGAAAAGAAATTGAAGTGAGGATTTGTTAGAGACTGCCCTTTCTCCTATTCAGAGTGTGAGGCCCACATGACTCCAATGCATATTTTATTAACTCTTCCTAGAAAGGAAAAAGAATCAAATAAATGATGGAATTTAATCTTTCAAGACTAAGAAGAAAATCAGATTTCATCCAATTATATATTTTTCTTCATCATTTAATATTTGTGGAGTGATTTTCATTTTTCAAGATTAAGAAGAAAATCAGATTTCATCAAATTATATATTTTTCTTCATCATTTAATATTTGTGGAGTGATTTTCATTTTTCATAACCGTTACTGCTTTGGAAAAGGTGTGTGTTGGTTTGGCTTTATCAATTAATAGGAGTTAGATGAACCACAGTTGAAAACGGATCGAGAAATTAATGAATAATCTTTCTAATGAATAAGGTTAAAAAGTTCCAGCGCTTACATATTTTTTAAACTTTTCTTATGCAGAAAAAGAATCAAATAAATGTTCAGATTTAATCTTCCAAGAAGTTCGAGAAGAAAATCAGATTTCATCAATCTATATTTTTCTATCATCATTTAACATTTGTGGGGTGGTTTTTCATTTTTTCCGTACAAATAAGTGCACCCAGTTGCCCCAAGTTCCTCAAATAATTTTACATCCGTTCCATAATAATTGTTCATTTCAAAAATTTTGACTCACTATCATCTTTTATTTTTGAGTCATTTGAGATCATTCTTAGTCATAATCACTTTTTATACTTATATACTACCTATATATTAGATGTCTATTTCGGTAACTTCGATTCACAAAAATTGTGAGTCAAAGTTTTTGATCTGGATAACTAATATGGGACGGAGGGAATATGTGTTTTGTGAAAGACACGTGAAATTAATTATACGACTCATCTTTGCTAATGAATAAGGTTAAATAGTTACAACACTTGCATATTTTATTAACTTTTCTAAAAAGGAAAAAAAGAAACAAATAAATGCTCAGATTTAATCTTCCAAGTCTAAGAAGAAAATCATACTTCATTAAACTACGTTTTTCCGGCACCATTTAATATTTGTGGAGTGATTTCCATTTCTCTAGCACCGTTTAATGCATAAAACTCTTACTTTCTCAAATAATAAGAGTTATGCGGTATGTGAAATTAATGATGAGACTTGTCATTTTTTAAGATAATAGGAGTTATGTAGACCACACGTGAAATTAACGAAAAGACTTATCGTTTTTAATGAATGAGGTTAAACAGTAAGAGAACTCTTACATATTTCATTAAGCGATAAGAATCAACTCCAGAAAAAGAGAGGTCCTGTACATCCACCAACTATTGGATTGAATTCTTCTTTTAGTAATAATGCCATATCAATGATTGGTCGGTATGCAAAATCTCTTCTTTCCTAGAAAGGAAAAAGAATCAAATAAATGCTCGGATTTAACTTTCTAAGTCCAAGAATTAGAAAATCAAATTTCAAAAATCTATAATATTCATCCTCTTTAATATTTGTGGAGTGATTTCCATTTTCTTCATACCGCGTTTAATGCACTAGAAAAGGTATAAATTGGTTCAATTTTCTCAAATAATAGGAGTTATGTGGACCACATGTGAAATTAATAATAAGACTCAGTGGTTTCTAATGAAAGGATAAAGAGTCACAAGACTCACAACGCTGCATATTTTATTACAGTAAGTTAAATTTCTCAAAAAGTAAAAGAATCAAATAAATGGTCAGATTTAATCTTCCAAGTCTAAGAACTAGAAAATCATATTTCAAAAATCTATATTATTTTTTCTAGTTTAATATTTGTGGAGTGATTTTTACCATTAGTTTGGATGTAAAATATTTTTTATAAAATATTTTTTTATTTTAAGGTTTTTGATTGTTATAAAATATTTACGAACAAAAAATATATTAAAATTTAACAAATATAACTTATCCATAAATTTTATTTTACATGACCCACTCAATGGACTCGACCTCACAACATAAACCTTTGTTAAACATTAAAAAAGTAAAAGTAAAAAAATATTTTACTCAAAAAATATATATATATTTTTCATCGAAACAAACAAAGCCTAAATGCTTTGGAAACTTGGAGAAGGTCCAAGTTAGTTTAATGAAATTATTGATAGGACTGGAATAAATTTAATCCCTTTAAAAAAAAAGAAAAAAGAAAAAAAAGGTACATGGATTTAATCTTCCAAATATAAGAAAATAAGATTTCATACGACCACATTTTCCATCATCACTTAATATTCCAACAAAACCATCAACAGAAATCAGGAGACGCGTTTTCCATTCCCTGTCACATATTCCCACCCTTTTTGTATGGTTTTGATAGGTACACTGTATACTGGTTTGCATCATTAAAAGCAGTTGTTAGAAACCTTCAAATCATTAAAAATCAGATTACAGTAATCTTCAATAGGGGAAAAAGAAATTACACATACATGGGTAGAAATGACATATAACAACAAAAGACCATGCTTATCAGTTGAGCATGTTTGGAAAAAGACAAATATGCCCACAGACAACTGGTAGGATATACAAAGTAACGTAAAGACACAGAGTCAAACGATTCCCAAAGGCAGTCTGAGATAATTAGTTTAAAAGCACTCACACTCTTCATTTCCTTAGACGCCTTCTTCTTAGAAAACAAAACCTAGAGAGAAGAAAATCTTAGAGAGAGAACAGAAAGCAGAAAATGGCAGCCAATACTCCTCTTCATGTCCCTAAAATCATCTCCAAACTTCTAACAGAAATATCTATGATCAATGATGTTTCTGAAAAAACATCAAAAGTTAGTCATCATGTTCGTCTGTTAGAAGACGAGATGAGCAAGATCGATGATTTTAAACATGAACTACCTCACTGCATGCTTTTTTTAAACGATGGTGCGTTTTGTTTCCCTCTCTCAAATTCTCTCTTGTTAATATATATATATATATATATATATTTGAATTTTTCTTTCATTTTTTGGTGTGTTAATTTGCAGCTTGTGAGAGATTGAAGAAGGAGATGACGCAGCATAGAGAAAGGGATGTTCCGCCCGTACTGATAGAGTTCCTACCATTAAAGGGTAATTTGGATGAAGATCGAGAGGCGAAAATGTCAAACGATTGCAGTGACAAGAATAATGTTATCTGTCAAGAATCTGATATCAATACCCAAGATCCGAAAATGGACTTGAGACTGGACTTGAGATCGGTAAGAACTAATATGGATCTATATAGAACATATACTAGTTAAAGAAAATTACTTTGAAAAAAAAAAAACACTAGTCATATACATCACGAAATAAATTGTTATGATGTCCATCTCCAATCATGAAAGGATGTAGTTTGTTTGGTTAGATTTCTATATCCAATAGTGAATCTCCTTCATTCAAGGGCCTATTACCACTTTAATTAGTTACTTGTTCGTATTAGTTATCTTTTTATTTTAGATAAATATTACAAAATAATAAATAAAGAATTGCTATGTTTATAAATTTTCAACAAAAAAAGAAAGATTTCTTTTTTTCCTGATAGAATTTTTTTGGATGACAAAGCTGGGATTCTAATTTTTTTGATGATTGATGACAGAAAGATAAAGAAGATGGTGGTTCATCAAGGAGCAATGAAGGGTCATTTGTGCCTTTTAATAGACAATCCGAATTGGGTTTCACTGATGAGAATTCGGATATAAACGCTCAAACTAGCTGTGTTTTGGCATTGGAGGCAACGCAGAATTATATGTCACAGAACCAACCCCAAAAACAACAACCGAAGAAGCAAAGGCGTTGATGGTGATGATATAAGAATGCATTGAACAACTTGGAGGATCAGAAGGTTAGACTTTTATAACTTAAGCTAAATTATACTCTTACATATATGCTATATATATACACAAATATAGAGTGTAACACATTAAGTAAGTTGAGAAGGATTAGAGACCAATCCGAGCTAAATTTAAGATAGAATTCTCTCAACTCAAACCTGGGTGTGACCCTACCTCCAAGTTCTCCAACTATACGAGTCTTTCCCTGCTCATTTTCTAAGCTCATGTTAGGCTCAGGTTTCTTAGAATAGTCGAGTTATATTCTTTCTTACTACCTGAACACATGATCGTTTCTATTTTTTGCTCTCCTAACCACTACCTTCAACTTGTATCACATCAATCTTCATATGTGAAGCTATTTCACATATGATCAAATCATTTTAGTTAGTAGATTTTATCTTTAAAGGGTGCTAGCTCTATCATTTCATGTGTGTTTAAATATCTAAGTTTATCTTCTAAACATGCTTAATTTCCAACAACTGTTTTAAATTTAACTTTAGAAAATTTATGTTTCTATGTTAAGGATATAATCAACAAAAAATAATATGAACCAAAAAAAACACTTCTCCATGTAACCGTATTACTTCTTTAATTTTACAAGAACCATTTTGCTCACTAATTATTTGTGGATAATTAATACAAAGTAGATAACAAACTATGGTTTTAATGTCTTTAGCTAGATCATCAATTTTCATAGTTACATATTTTCAAATTGTAGTATTATTAAATTTTCTAAATTTAAAACGCATACGTTTAGTTTTAGTTATTATTATCTTTAACTTTCTTTATTCTAGCGTTTTAATTTCTTCAAATAATTAATAAGTATTTATTATCATTTTAATTTCCTCGGCAAATAATAGAACTATAAAACCTCATCTACGGGTCATATTTAACTATAAGTGATTAATATAAGCCTATGAATTGTATATACTCATATGATCGATCAATACTCCTGCAATGGTTTCAGATATAGCAATAGTTCCATCATTTTTATCCATTATTATGTCGATATATTTTTTGGTGATTCATTTCTTTTGTTAATTAAACAAATCATATTAAATTTCTTAGGAATTTGTTACACACTTTCTCCAACCTTATATGTCATACAAAGATCTTTCTTTTTCTCTCAACATCTTTATAGTTTCTTTCTATAATTAAGGTACATGAGTAATTCATATGTTTTCTTAATTGTACTTAGACGTGTTCATTTAATCCTACATAGGTTTAAGAGTTAATTATATTAAAACATAGTCATTCATAAGACGAGTCTTATCAAGATAATCTTCTCCCACCCTTCCCTTCTTCAGCAACAATATTTTTTCCTTCAAACAACAAAAAGATACAACGGTTAATGTATTTGATCAAGAATTGTATCATTGATCAAGATATCATTGGCCAGATGCTTCCTCAAAAGCTTGACAATGGCATTAGCGACCCCATGGCCATCTCTAGAACATGGCTAATATGGACTAAGGAAAGACTAAGCATTGTCTTTTTTATATCAAAGATAATGGAATGTAGTTCGACTTGCCTGGATCATCACCTACAATCGCCTTGCAAATAGATAGGAATCCTTTCAAAGAAAACCTGAGGAAAGAGCTTAAGAAAAAAAAAAAAAAAAAAAAAAAAAAAAGACCTGTGGAAAGTCCTCAGACACTGCCCATAAAACTACTTTATGGAAGCAACTTGCTGATCAGCTTCAACAACACTAAAAGCCTGGAATCGCAAGAAGAGAATCACTTTAACGATGATGCCAACAGAGTCTCGAAACACTCAACCTCCTTGAAGCTTTGAGTTGGTGACATGGTAGATACTATGATTGCTGGTCTGACGGATGAAGTGGCATTGTACTGAAACGCTCTTTTGTGTAAAATATACACTGCAACTGCAACTGCAACGTATAATGTGTAAATATTTTGATCTCTAATACTATGTTAAGATACACTGTCAATGTCATCAATGTGTAAAATTATTGTGTATTTTACACAACCTTTTTACACAGCAGCATAAACATATTTCATTTCTCCTCCCTTTTTCCCATTCTATTAACGGATCAACCCGGTATGTAAAAGTTATATGGGGTGCTATTTGCAGATATATTTTTGTTCAAAAGGTATAAAATAATGACTAGAGCTAAAGATGAGTAGTCCAAAATTTTTGTGTAAATCTATTATGACACATCAGATTTACACAAAAAAATATGCATAACTGTTGGAGATGCTTAGAAATGTTGACATGGCTAAAACTCAAATAATCGATGATGCATCTGCTGACATGGCACTATTCTGATATGGCGAATTGTTATGTGACAGACAAGTGTTACTAACGTGGCAGTACGAAGAGTATATGGCACGTGTAGGCACTTTGTGGCAAGTATTGCATTCGTGCAGGCGCGTGAATGCACATGAATGGAGTTGGTAAATGCATGGCGAAGCGAACTAATTGGAAGAACCTTTGCGTGGCACATGTGGGTGCATGAACTATTTTAGAAGAGATGAAGTACTTTGTTGAATTATACGTATTATTGTATTAAATAATGAACTAGTACATTAAGAGCCTATTTATAAATGAAAGCTATACAAGGAAAGTGGGTTAGTAAGTGCTTTACAAGGTAATAGTGCAATGTACAAGAAACCTAGTCGTGGATAAGGGATACAATAGTAATAATAATCTAATACAATGAAATTATAGGCTTAGCTTGGCAAGGAAAATTATAAGGGAATCGGAGTGCAATTAACATCAAGAAACTTCGTAAAATGTTTGTTGGCCAATTGAATAATAGTGGACGTCTCCCATAAATCCTCATTGAAAACATGATGGTTACAAGGTTTCCATATAAACCGCAACAAAATGAAGTAACTAAGCAACTAAGAAATCATCCCGATGCTTCCATCTTTCAAGGCTAGACCACCAATTAAAAAATGAGTGAGACCTATCATTAGAGAAGTCTAGCCGTAAAGGAGATATCTTCCAAATGAAAATGGATTAGGAGTACTAACTATAAAGTCATATGCTTATTACAGATTTGTCAACCAACTCACAACGAGGACAACTTGGATCTTCCAAAATTCCGTAGTGTTTGAGAGCTTGCTTAACAGATATCCTGTTTATGTACCACAACTAAAGAAAGTGTTGAAGTAAACGAGTGGTATTACAACTCCAGATACTGTCCCATAAACTCTAAGCGCTGAAATTTGAGCTAGAATATTCCACATTTGAATATCTTTTAGCATTCTCCTTGAGTTTGTTAAATGCTATGCCCAGGGACGGAGCCACTTCATAGTCAGTGGGGGCAATTGAATTTTTTTTTTTACTATTATATACCACAAATTTTTCTTATTTTCAATTATATACCTAAAAAATTTTCACTTTGTCGCGCCCCCCTAAAATTACAAAACACCCCCCCCCCCCCCCCCTCCCCCCCAACGCGAAACTTCCTAAATCCGTCCTTGACGGAGAATTGGCCAGTTGGAAAATGGAACCAAGGCAATGAATCAATTTTGTTAAAAAAGCTAAGATGACAATAAAGAATGGCCTTTACCATTTCAGGAGAAAATATTTGCCAGAAAAGCTCAATCGTCTAAGATCTCTAGTGGACATCAATTAGATTAGCAACTATCACAATTTCCTTTTAGTTTTCATATATCAAATGTTATCCCTGGTCCACTTTCATTCTAATTTCTTAATAAAATTGATTATTTATATATATTATGTATTCAATTTTCAAATATATTTTATCTAATACACTTGGTTTTTATAGACAATAGCATACTAATCATTCTTTTAATTAATCATAGTTGCTACAAATTTCATCACTTTAACGATTAGTTTTACTATTTCCCAAATTGCTAATTTGAGTATGTTATTTGGGATTAATTTCGATCTTCACCTACACTTCTCCAAATTAGCGCCAAAAACCATTGTCATTTTTCACGACATTTGGTGAGATGCGGGATCATCTTTCTCTAAAAAAGTGCGAAAAAAGTACTCAAGGGTTCCCTCATTGAGAAAAATGGTAGTGGCAGTAGGCATGTAGAATGAAAGAGCTATATTGCCAATGTTTAATTTGATGTTGTTCCTTTTAACTTCTCTAAGTTTCAAGAAATTCCTCAAGCTCCAAAAGTATGTTGTTTTGAGAATATTTATTTCCCCAAAAGATATACCATTCAAAGGATAATATTTGATCTATTAAGGGTAGAGGAAAAGGCACCATCCCAATGCCTTTCATCAAATGGAATAGGTGTTGGTGTGGGTGCTACGTTACTAAAAAAGAATTGACAAAATCATTTTTAGGATTATTTATTTCTCGTAAAATTTAGAAATCTCGAATTTGATATTTGCCAACCAACAACCATCAATCCGCTCGTTGGGTGATAAATGGCGACGTGGAACATAGAATGGAATTTCGGCGATAGCCTCAATGTTTGAAACATCATCATCCACAATATCACTGTCATCAACTGACAGGTTCACAACACGTTGACCAAATAGTTGCAATCTTCGTTGACTAGAGTAAGCCTCCAATTTTTAATGAAGAACCACATATTGAATCATATGAGTTAAAAATGTCTTTGAATTGGGATCAACTAGTGAGGAAATTGCAAAAGAAAATCTAAAAATGAAGGAAGATATGAGAATATGGTGGTAACAATAGCAATAGAGAAAAATGAAGTGCTTAACCTCTCACCAACGGGAGTTCTACAAGAATACAAGTCTGACATTAGTGGATGTTTGAATATCCGAGTACTAAAACAAGTTCAAGTAACTTGGACAATTTGATTGGCCAAAAAGCTTTTGTATCTATGGAAATAAAAATAGTGGATTTCACTTTTATGATACGATTTGGGGTGAATTCTTGGAGTGCACTACAACTGTTAGGCTGTTGTTGGAACACAAATTAAAGTTTGATTAAACTTCTAGCTTAAACTACATGTTCCATCGAGTTTTTCGAATCTACTCAATTTCA